AGTTTGGAAAGTGTTAGGAGCCATCAAACAAAAACAGTTGCTCGCTCTTATCGCTAGACAATATTAATACAATATCAAAAATATTTATAATTACATAGAAATGGAATATATTCATACAGACATACACAAGTACATATGTATTTGTACACTTTCATTTGCATGTGCGACACGGTAAAGTGGAAATACAAACTAAAGTTCAATGCTATGAACCAATGAATGTTATACAGATACAGAAGAATGCCCATGCAGTATTATAAAAGTAAACCACGTGGTCACTACATTTTGCAAATTTGATAAGCTATGAAAACATAATTTCTTCTTTGTAAGTAGGAATTGTACCTACATACATATGCACATATGTAGGTAAATAAGTACATTTGTATAACATTTGCTTGCACCTTTACTATGGTTGAATGTATGTAAATAGGAATAAATATGCATGTATGTATGCGAATGTTTTGATCGGCAATCTGAGAACAATAAAAATGCCGAAAGAGAAGAGAGCCGGTAACTCGGAAGAGCAGCAATCATTATAAAAGCACATGGTGCGCATGACGCAGTCTGTAGCCACACATATGTACATTCATACAAACACATACACTTACGTATGTACGTTTGTAACTTGAACACGTTGCCGGGGCAGCCTCTCTAGCAACAGCACATCGGACCACGAAAGAGCGAGCGACCAGCTGGTATTTGGTGGGAAATAGATGAAGGCTGATATGCGTAAAACAGATGCATTAGCATACGAACATACACGCTCACATATAGACAAACAAATAAACATACATACAGATAGACAGATACAAACGAATATATTTATATATGTTTTTAAATCCATACATATGTATGAGCATCCTAACGCTGTAGATTTAAAACATTAATACAAGTTACTCGTTTGGCGTAAGTCTCTACCGCAGAGTTGGTCACACTTATCAACTGCTATTCGTGGTCTGCTGAGTAAACAACCACGTTTTTCGATGGAATTTTCTACATACTATCATTAATTACACCTAAACTCTCGTTCAACATCCCAGCTGCAAAGCAATGCAATGGTCTGAAACATTTGTAAAAACACAACCTGGATTAAGTTAAATCCTTATACATACTTATTGAACACACATAACTACAGCCGTATATTCTAAATATGAAAATATATTCCGCATGCGGTACATATGTTCATATGTACATTTGTGTATACATATGTATTTTGTGTGCTTGCCCGCACTAAGTGATGCAATAAGGAGGTCGGCCTGCGTCTGCTCTCTTATCGAAATGAGATGCAGCTAATTTAAGCACACACACGCATGCATGCACGAATTGATATTTGAATGTGTATACACTCACCTGGATGCCCCTCTCCCACGGATTCGGAAGTAAATAGGAATGTTTGCCCATCTTCCATGTCGTAGGAGTTGCCATTACCATTGCTGCCATTGAGGCCGTTGGCATTGGATGTGGAGTGTCCATTCGTCTTTTGTGGCATTTCGATTGTTCCTTGTAATCTGGTTGTTAAGTAGTTAAAGTTGATACTGTGTAAAACAAAAATTCGTATTAGTTTGTTCAACAAATAAATTGATTTTCCAAAAAAAAACGTATGCAAATCAAGTATCGCTGCCTTGCCTTCGGCAATTAATATTATTGTTATTTTTTATATAATCATCAAACGCATTATACGTTTTATTTTATGTTGTCTTTGATGGGACACACAACAGCAGCGATACATACTTATGTACATACATGTGTGATTGTATAAATAAACATACACACCGACAAGCACGCGCGTTAAAAGACGCCAATAACTGATCAATGAAACTGTTATGTTTTTGGCAACAGAAACGGCACTGCTTCTGTATAAAGTCGGATGCCTCTGAATATGTTATAATTTAGCCGAAAGGCAGTCAAATTAGCGCAACTAACACGCACGTCCTATCTCCGTGACGGTATGATAGAAAAAGAGCGCACAATTTTTGCCAGCTACAGAATTTATAGTCGTGAAGAGGGAGCGGAGAACGATGGCGGCGCTGTATGAGAACAAATTTCTCTCTTTTGCTCTTAGTGGTAACACGTCTATATGTATGTGTGTATATTTGTTACTTGTTTTGGCGCTCCTATTTGGAGCTAAAGCCACACTCAACTTTCCTACCGTTCTTAAGCAAACTGAAAGAGCATCTCCACGTTTTTTATGGCTGTTCGTGAACAGCTGTGTTTGCAATGCGGTGGGTGGCTTAGCGTTGCCACACTGTTTCAATTTTCACAAGAAATGATACACTAAAATATAAAAATTTTGCCATTCGCTTACATCAATAAATTTAGAGTCTGGAGTTTTAATTCGCTGGAACTGTTGGTGTTGACAAGCGCTCGAACAGCGTCTAATTGGGACTGTGCTCTAAAAAATTTGAATTTATTTATAAATATTTGCGCCTTAATCCGGAAAGATGATTTGACAAAATTAAGGGCTTATCATCACTGTAGTACCATATAAATTGATGAAATATGAAAACATCCTACTAATTTTCATAGTTTTTTATTGCGTAAATATATATTTAGAGCTTCGTAAGTATTTAATATCGTTGTTGGGCAAAATGATTTAGTTATTTAATAGAAAAAGTAAGTATTTAAAGATAAAAAGTGTTTTGCATGGGTATTTAAAAAATGGAACGTTTAAAAACTTTAATAATCTAAAATTTTGAATAAATTTAAGTCTTTTAAAGATGCGTCACTAATAGGCGCTCGACAACAATATTTTTTTTTCAAATAACAAAGAAAGATCGTGTCATGCTAATCACAAACAAGGTCGGCCAAGATCAAGGCGATCGGTAATCTGCTTCTGCATAATATACACAAAAATCTATTGAAAATAGCTGAAATAACAAGCTAAATAATCTTTATAAAGATGTTGACCCCCCAGATAGATTTGTGGTTGAGAAAAATAATATATAAATTAATATGTTGCTGGTCCAGCGATGAACTAGGCGTCGGTGGCAGGTCCAGCGTTGATCGGGTATTTATAGTCTTAATCAATAAGTTGCTGGTCCAGCGATGAGCTAGGCGTCGGTGGCAGGTCCAGCGTTGGTCGGGTAATTATAATCTTCTTATGATGATTATGTTGGAGGGTTTGACTTCACCCCCTTTTCTATTAACTGGCCTTGTGGCTCAGCAATGATCAGAAATATAACAATTTGATTACGGCGGTGTGCCGGAGTAGTGCGGGTTTATTCTTCAAACTTCAATGCAAAACTGATTTTTAGCTACATAGAATATTTCACTTAAGCTAAGCCAAAACTCGCATCACACCACAATGTCATGGTCGGCAAGCCGACTCAGCAATCTTAGGCAATAACGGAAACTCTTGCAGTAAACAAAAGTATCTGGTTACCGCCGCTGACCATTGCAGTTATAGCGCGCTGATACAAAGTATGCAGTGTCGCAATTGCGAGGGCTGTTTCTTAACTTACGAAACACGCGATAGCGAGGGTTGGTTATAAACTTATGAAATACCCTATATTAAATGTTATGTGTTAACTACTCCCCCTTCAAGTGTAAGGCCGCCCTCGGCCGACCCAATTCCGGCGACGACTTCTCGTAATTGCTTCGCAGACTTCCTTGCGTCGATGAACCGCCAAAGGGTGAGGCCAATGCAGATTAAAGCACAGCATATACCTCCAATGATGAATGCCACACGATAAGCTTGATCAGTTCCGGCGTCTTTCTTGAATTGCTGTATCTCCTCCAAATTACGTTCATTTAAACGATGAAGATAAGGGAGGCTGAGGACATCTTGGCTGGCAGTGATGTTCAGCAAGGGAGAGTTGGCAATGCCCGGGACTCTATTGCGTACGTTGTTGTGGTTGTAAAACAGAGTCCCGTTGATCGCGACTCGGTCCCCGAACGTAATGAGATGCGTGCCGTGTACTTGGATTTCAGTGCCGTTATCCACCTGGATCCTTGCGGACCCGTCGTTAAGAATGATGATTCCATCATCTACGTGGGTGATTATTTCCAGGTTGCTCGGCTGGATTTCACAGTGTGCCGTGCCACCTGCATGGAGCTCTTTGGCACATGAACTCTCTAATGCCAGACGACAAAAGGTGGCTCCAGGTGAAGCGGTGCAACTCTGCAGTGTGTGGGTTTTTCCATCGCATTCGGCTATGACGTTGTCAGGCAATCGCAATATGAAATTCTGATTTAAATTCCAAAAAAAAAAATTTTTTTTTTTTTTTTTTTTTTTTTTTTTTTTTTTTTTTTTTTTTTTTTTTTTACGTTGGGCGCCAATTAATATGTTGCTGGTCCAGCGATGAACTAGGCGTCGGTGGCAGGTCCAGCGTTGATCGGGTATTTATAGTCTTAATCAATAAGTTGCTGGTCCAGCGATGAGCTAGGCGTCGGTGGCAGGTCCAGCGTTGGTCGGGTAATTATAATCTTCTTATGATGATTATGTTGGAGGGTTTGACTTCACCCCCTTTTCTATTAACTGGCCTTGTGGCTCAGCAATGATCAGAAATATAACAATTTGATTACGGCGGTGTGCCGGAGTAGTGCGGGTTTATTCTTCAAACTTCAATGCAAAACTGATTTTTAGCTACATAGAATATTTCACTTAAGCTAAGCCAAAACTCGCATCACACCACAATGTCATGGTCGGCAAGCCGACTCAGCAATCTTAGGCAATAACGGAAACTCTTGCAGTAAACAAAAGTATCTGGTTACCGCCGCTGACCATTGCAGTTATAGCGCGCTGATACAAAGTATGCAGTGTCGCAATTGCGAGGGCTGTTTCTTAACTTACGAAACACGCGATAGCGAGGGTTGGTTATAAACTTATGAAATACCCTATATTAAATGTTATGTGTTAACTTATACATATATTTATTGTTTGTTAAGAGAATAAGCGTGTACCATAGTTAACCTCAAAATATGCTAATACTATAGTATAGTAATACTACTATACAATGACATGATTTAATCACTCCTTCAACCTAAGTTAATGGCTTTTGCTAGCATACCCTTATCTGGTTGCCTACAGCCAGTGTGGTAAAGTGACAGTAGTCGCAGCCGAAAGATAAAACAGCTGTTTGTGACGTGTTATTAGTTCGTTAACATAAGAAATATAAAAAAACAACGATTTGCTTCCGCCGTGCAATTTTAGCTCAAAATGATAGGGAAACTGTTTGCCTTAACGGCTTTAACTATAATAGTTTTCTTGACTCAGAGAACTTCAACGTTGGACGCACCAAATGAGAGCACAGCTGCCAAGGCGAATATTGTCAAAATAGTGGACACGTCGGAAAACAAAACACCGATAGTTACTGCACCTGCGGTAAATATTAACAATGTATCGACTAGTGCTAGCAGTGCCAGTGTCCCGCCCATTGAATTGAGTTCAGCGACTTCCGTGCTGCAAAATGTGAATGCATCTAAAAACGCGACCACGACAGTCACGGAACCATCCCTAATTGATCCACATGCCGTGGAACAGGAACACAATTCCTCGCTCTCGCTCTTCTTCGTCATCTGCGTTATTATGCTGGGAATACTTTTGATACACTCGATGCTTCAAACGGGCTTCCAATATCTGCCCGAATCAATTGTGGTAGTGTTTTTGGGCGCATTCATTGGACTGTCGCTAAATGTCATGTCGGGCGAAAATGGCAGCTGGAAGCGGGAGGAGGTCTTCTCGCCGATGGGCTTCTTTCTCGTTCTGTTGCCGCCCATCATATTTGAGTCTGGCTACAATCTGCACAAGGGAAACTTCTTCCAAAACATTGGCTCCATCCTGGTGTTTGCCATTTTCGGTACAACGATTTCTGCCCTGGTTATAGGTGCCGGCATCTACCTGCTGGGCATGGCTGAGGTGGCTTATAGGTGCGTATTTCTGATCAAGCTGAGAAGACACTGTTCTAATCATCTCTCTGTGTAGGCTAAACTTTTCCGAATCATTCGCATTCGGCTCTCTCATTTCGGCTGTTGATCCCGTGGCCACAGTTGCCATATTCCATGCCCTGGATGTGGACCCGATCTTAAACATGTTGGTTTTTGGAGAAAGTATTCTGAACGATGCCATTTCAATTGTGCTAACGGCTTCCATTACGATCAATGCAAACGCAGACGCAGGCACAGGCGAAGCAATGATGAGCGCTTTGAAAACATTTTGTGAAATGTTTTTCGCTTCAGCTGGCATAGGTGTTATATTTGCTCTTATATCCGCATTGCTGCTTAAGCACATCGACCTGCGCAAGCACCCATCGTTGGAATTCGCAATAATGCTAATGTTCACCTATGCACCTTACGTTCTGGCTGAGGGTATACACCTGAGTGGGATTATGGCCATACTCTTCTGTGGAATCGTTATGTCACATTATACACATTTTAACTTATCGACTGTCACGCAAATTACGATGCAGCAGACGATGCGAACACTGGCGTTTATAGCGGAGACTTGCGTGTTTGCTTACCTGGGCTTGGCCATCTTTTCATTTAAACACCAAGTGGAGTTGTCGTTCGTCATCTGGTCAATTGTGCTGTGTCTGATCGGTCGGGCCTGCAACATATTTCCGCTAGCTTATTTGGTAAATAAGTTTCGTGAACACAAAATCAATAATAAGATGCAGTTCATCATGTGGTTCTCTGGTCTGCGGGGTGCCATTTCCTATGCACTCTCTCTTCATTTGCACCTTGATAGCCAGGAGAAGCGGCATGTGATTATTACCACTACTCTTATCATCGTTCTGTTCACCACTCTCGTGTTGGGAGGCTCTACCATGCCATTACTCAAGTACTTGAAGCCTGGTAAGAAACGCCGTACACGTGGATCTCTACGCAGCTCAAGCGGTGGCTCACAGAACTCGCATCGAAAACGCAGCAAATCAATATCCCTATCCAAGACACGAGAGTGGGGACAAGCCATCGATTCGGAGCACCTTTCGGAGCTAACAGAAGAGGAGGATGTCACCTTTACACAGGCGCGCGATCGCTTCGGGCGCTTGGATCGCAAGTACTTCATACCTTTCTTTACGCGTCGCTTCAACAGCCAGGAACTGCATGAATGCAAGTCCCAAATGGCCGATTTGACCAACAAATGGTATCAAGCCATACGAGTTAGTCCGTTGGACTCTGACGAGTCGGACGATGAAATTGGCCTCTCTGCCAATACAAGCCAGAGTAATTTAACTCGATCGTAAATCTAAGAAGATTCGGCTAACAAGCTGGGTGTGTAAAAACATTTGAGTGTCCAAAGTATTTGTATATATTAAGAGCTATTCATATTTATGTACCTTGTAATCTTACTTACAATAGTGTCCTCTTGTATGTACGCAGGTGGCAGTATACCCTATTCATAGCTGTTGCGCTTTTTGCAGTATTTTTACTTATTAATCGTTTCATAAGTTTCAAAAGAACGACAGTTAAAGCTTTGTCTTTATTATATATATACTTGTTTAATCTTATGTTACATGTTGTGTGTAAAAATGTAGTCAAAGTCAAAATCAAAATATTTGTATTTTATACGGAATAAATTGTGATATAATAAGTTGAAATTTAATTGTTCAATATGCACAATTGTTGATTTCAAATTTCGATTAAAATGTTGTTGGTCCCCATTAACGATATATCGATAGACAACGATAGCAATCGTAGCCTAACATAAGAGGAACCAGATAGCAAACAAAGAGTAATGTTAATTATCGATAGAAAATCTGTTACGTTTCGCTTAGATGGCCATAACATGGGGTAACATTTACATGTATAGCTATTTAATGTATTTATTATTCAAATTTTTTCGGTTGAATTTGGTCAAATTTAGACGCATTGAATGCCAATCAAATAAATCAATAAAAATTGGCCAAGTAACTATAACTGTAACAAGTAAGCTGTAAGTTCCGACTGCACTTTGACTGTCTATAGTTGGAGTATTTTTCATTCGATTTTCGGATGGCATATTGACTCAATCTGTATTCACAGATATTCTTATTCTTAAGAACTTTTTCAAATATTCACTTGATTCCGAAAAAGACCTCTACAACTTTGTATGACTCTAGCTTGAGTGTCCTTTGCCAGTTTTTTAAGCTTAACTATACTTTTGGGTTTGTAAAAAACAGTGCTGTTGATCATCATTCAAAAGAAGCATTATTTAAATGATCGTTTTTCATCTTTACTATTGGCATCTTTACTATTGGCATCGTTTTTTATCTTTACTATTGGCATAAGCAATAACTTTCCATTCCAATGTTGGTTTAATTGACTTCTTTGTGGAGACTTCATGTATCGTTTTGCTTCTAAACTTGAAGTGTGAAATCAAAATTGTTTGTCTTGTAAATGGCCAGAATATTGCGATTAATATTAATGGTGACTTGTATTTTAATTAATTTCTATAATCGCTGAAGAGCATTTGAGTCTGCCCTGCCTCAACGTTACCGGTTGAGAGAGAAGCACGATCGGTCTTTTATACATCCTTAGAGCCGATAGCTCTCAAACACCATACCATGTATATACACTTAAAAGCCACCCAACAATACACAACTTGAAAATCTATTGCAGATACAGGTGTATATAACTGTGTTGATTACTTACTTTTGTGTCAGTGTTGTGTGTAGAATCTGGCTTTACCTATCATTATTGATTAATTTAAAGAATACTTCAATATGACTTAAATTGTTTGTTTTATTTTACACGTTGTACAATTATTAGCACAAAATAGATAATTCACTCGTTGCTAAAATACAAATTTTTGAGCTGTGTTCAGCTTTGCAAATCGTATATATGTATGTTTGTTTTGTAATACATACATAAGAAACTTAATTCAATAGTAATTTAACTTAATTATTTCTCGTTTCTCATCATGAGCTTGTAGCATTACAAATCCATCTAATACTTTCACATGAGTAATAATAGAGTTCACTTCATTTTCTCAATCCTTTGTCGCGATGAATGAGGTCTACTCTATTTGCTTTTATTTTTTGACATTCCGTTTCAAACTTTTAGTAATCTAAAATATTTGATCTAGTGCTGAGATGATATAAATCATGCAATGTTATCTGATGTAGGTATACGTATACTGGATTTTATAATTTTTATTATCTATCATGTGAATGGAGAGACACGTGATTATTGTATTACGAGTAAGAATGATGGGGAATAGTAAAAATAAGGAAACATAGAATGATAAATATACCCAAGAGTATTAGGTTAAAACCCTTCACCGGAATCCAATTATAATGTAGTTATATACAACGCTACTAAGAAAATAATGCTAAGACATTAATGTTTATCCAGATTTGATACTAATTTTGTGCCAGAGTTCAGATTGATATAGTTGACAACAAATTTATCACAAATTAGAAGAAGCCATAAGGAAGAGTATTGCTCATCAGTATTTAAGGGTCAATCTATAATTACATTAGTCACTTTAGCTTACTCTAATATTGCATTTTGAAAGTACTTCTACGAATTTCCATGGAAGTAGCAAACTATAGGAATATACAGTACACATACATAAGTCTATCATTAGGGAATAAATAATTTGAAGTAACATGTTCCAAAAATATTAAATACACTTATCGAAGCCCTTCAACAAATTAGCTATAGTATAAATATGAAGAACATTTGAAGAACATTTTAACGAGTGAATACCGTATTTTGGGCTATTACCTATGTCGGACATATCGATAATTTCTCTGTGATCATCGGCATCACATCTACTTATACCATAAGCGTGGCTTTTACTTTACTACGATGTTATTTAGATACATGGAATCGTCAGAATCGCCAGAATCGTCAGCTTTACGCCGAAGGCTCCTCAACTTCATTGTCAATGCGAGATGAGCGTATGCCGGACTTTCCAGTCCACGGATAGATGTCGGGGCAAGGCTGACACGTTTTCATGTAGCGAACGCCTGATTTGTGCCATAGATTGCATACTTTCGGGTTGTTGCATCGCTTGGGTCGGTCCTGCAATAGGATTATAGACTTACGTTTACTCTGTAGCTCTGTATATTGAGACTTTAGCGTACCGAGTAGTCGCACTGGAATGGCTGGAAGGAATTGATTCTCGAAGTTGGGGTTGGATCGCGCACCCATTGCAGTGCTTGCCAATTGGTAATGATCCAAACATCCTGCATGGCATTTATGGCATCGAGGAACTTGATGAATCCTTCCTTGTGGTGCGGCTGTGTAAACCAAGCTGCATGGTAGAACAGTCCAAAAGGCGCTCTGTGAATTAGAAAGTGACTATAGATACCGAACTAATCAACGTCATGCTGTCTACCTATTGGTGGTGTAATGACGCTCGAAATTCTTCATTATCATTTTGGTAACTCCCTCCGCATCACTGGGATTGGAGCAGGCATCGCCCATAGAGCAACGTCCGCCATTCAAGTCTTGCCACATGACCATTGGCACTTGCCAAACGCCTGGGTAGCTACGCGTCGGACAGGGCGGTATCATGCAATCGTGAAAGATCTTATAGTCCAGGGTGTACGGCCACGAGGGTGGTCGATTCTCATAGACCGGCATTGATGAGTCGTAGGTGAAATTCGAATCGTACAGCATTTTATACATCTTATTGCCACCTACTGAAAGGAAAGGTGCGCGCATGCCCCGCACATCTGATAGCTTAACACCACCATAAGCGGCAAGTATCTCCCGCTGACCGGCTATTTCCCGAGTCCACTTCTTCTGCGAGAACTGCTCGCCAAAGCTGTGACTGTGGAGCAATAAACAAAAGTAAATTTTAGCACCTTTGACACTTTTGTACATAATTGTTCATGTATTGGTTTGATTTAGTAAAGCACCGCGCCCGATTGTATAGGATGTGTTCGTGAGTGTGGTGTAGGGTCGTCTTGTAAGGTGGAAAGTGATTTCGACTACTGTGCGTACTTAAGTTCTTATCTTGGTGTTGTTATTGTGTTTGTTGTTGTTTGCCGTGTTTGTTCGTCTCAAATAGAGGTAGAGTCGGTTACTTACGAAACTGTGTGCGATGCCATTTCATGTCCATCGGAGTAGAGATTCTGTACTTGACTGTAATCTGTCCATTCGTGAGAGACGTAGAAAGTTGCTGTGATTGGGCAGCCGTTGGGGTTGACGCGTCCCTTCTCGAAAAGATCCATGTACAATTGCTTATTCAAATCATTTACCGAATCATCAAAAGTCAAGAGCACAATTTGGGGTATGCTTTCGACGGGCAGTTCGCCTAGCAGTCGCGACGACAGTATTGATGAGATGGTGGGTGATGAAATGTATAGAAAATATAAGAGGATCATGATGTGAATATAAACCAAGCAGACACATAGAGGCAAAGGGACGAAAAGACAATGATTGGCGCATGTAATTGATGTAGCCATAATCAGGATGACGCGACAGAAGCGAAAATCGATCGCAACTTACGAAACCGTGTGCGATGCCATCTCATGCCCCTCCGAATACATATCCTGGACCATGCCATAGTCAGTCCACTCGTGCGATACGTAGAAGGTAGCACGCCAAGGACAGCCATTGGGATTTTTTCGCGACGCGTTATTCAATAACTCGTTATAGAGATCAATATTAATTGTATTGATCGCATCATCAAAGGTAATCAGTACGATTTGTGGGGTAACCGATACATTTAAGCCTCCTAAGAGTTGTGAGGCATTGAGTTAACAGCAATATTAGTTAAGAGTCCACAACTAATTTGCTTAGCACTGCCAGAACGATCAACAATCTCGGTAGTTAGTACATGAATACTCACCGGGTATATCCTTGCCGCCACAGTAGCAATCGGGCAGTAAACAAACATCCTTGCGGCACTTGGCTGCCGTCTTGTCGGGCGTGGGCTGTGGGTATATGGGATCCGGTCGGGTTGGCGGATATTTATAAATGTCCACAAACTCTTGAGCTTTTGAGACAATAGTGCCAGCCGGCTTAAGCGTGGGACGTGTTCGCCTGTGGGTTACATAACACTAACATTTATATTTCCTTGGCATGAGAATGACTTACGGTGGATGCGTGCCTCTATTTGGGGTAGCTACAGCATCTCGGTCCTGGTTCGTGTATATTGCACTGCCTCGGTTTCTATTATTGTTTCTAAATTCAATTGTTGTAAAATACGCAATATATATATATTTTTTATTTAACGACATTAGTAAATAATTTAAACTGTGCGAAATGCCAACCAATTATTTGATGGTCTAGAGCTACACAAATAAATACAAGACAAAATTCAGTTAATTTATGTGATTAATAAAGTCGCCATAACCAATTATAGATCTTACATAATATATATATTTATTATATATATAATATATATATATGTGTGTATTTGTGTGTGTCTGTGTATGTATGTATGTACACGTAAATAAAATTCATATCAGCAGCCAATACGATTATATAAAATAAGAAGTACCAAAGATTGAATAGTATACTTATGTGTCTGTGTAGCGGGATTGGGCTGTAAACCTAAGCTGAGAACAATAGACGGATAGAATAAACAGATCTGATATTCATTTGCCATGTAGATCATTGTTCACATTGACATCTTTCGAATCTTGCTGTGGGTCGGAGCTGCTCAACACATTCGAAATTTTAGTGCAGTTTTACATAAGATCTGTTTGCTGAAGGTAAACAGCAATACTAAATGGAAGCTCAGTAAAATGTGCAAATGCAGTTCAAATTCCGATTGGAATAGACCTCGTGGATATTTCATTTCGAGCCACATACTTACATAAGAGTGGAAAGTCTACAGATATTGCAAATTGAAAGTGATCAAATTGAAACTTTGACCTCAATAATTTGTACATACATACATAATTGTGGTATGTATCGTTTGGATAAATAAAAAATAAAAGTGTTTCCAACTAAAATCATAATAAAATATTGTAAAAAAAAACAAATGTTCAAAATAAAAAGAGACAAATATATATGAAAAGTTATACGGGCCACCACCCAACGGTTACGATTTGATTACGTCGTTATGCTCACCGTTCTGTAGTCTGTACATTGTTGCAACATTTTACAGATCAGCTAATATTTAGTATTTACTTATGTATCTTTGCACTAAGAATCTACGAATAATGTAAGGAGGCGAGAAGAACTATGCAGTTTTAAGAGTGATCTGGTCATTATTGTGGTCAAGAAATGTTGCCTATTGGTTGTTTTTTTATTGACTACGAATTAAAGGCAAACTAGAAAGCCAACAAACAACCAGAGTTCTACGAAAGTGGGTGAATGTAGGTAATGAGGAAAGAGAACTACGTAAAAGTAAAGTTGTTGGGTTGGTTTTAGAGGACACTAGATCTGTGTTCAGAGCAAAATTACGGTGAATTTGTATTTAAAGAGAGGAGAGTGATAATGCAGAGGTAACAGCTACTAAGGAGCGTTAATTAGAAATCACTGTTTATACCTTGAGGGGATTTCGTTGCACTTGAGGTTCAGTGTGCTATCGGAGCACTTCACCGAAACAGCAGCGACAGCGGCATTGTTGTTGTTGTTGTTGTATTGGTGTTGGTTGTTGTTGTTGTTGTTGTTGTTACTGTTACTGTTGGGTGCAAGGCCATTATGGAATTTATTAGCCCTACCCCCTGGTATTTGGTAGGCGGACGGGGAAGAGACCGGGCTGGACGATTGGGCGGCAGCAGCGGCAATAGACGACTTTAATGCGTTATTTACCCTCGAGACTCGTGTTGTGGGTGGAGACAATAATGATATGGATGGGGCGGCAGTTGTACTTGAAATGTCAGGTGTGGAGCTAACATATGGAGTGCTACTGCTTATTGCTGATATAGCATCGGAATCTAATTTTTTAAAAGTAGAGGGTGAGGGGAACAATTTGGATTGGTTACCTAACGGCTTGACCCCAATTTGTGGGGCTCGTGTGGCTGGCAGTGGTGCAGTAGTAGTTGTAGAAGTAGTAGTAGAAGTAGGTCTCACTATAGTTGTAACATTCCGGATCGTTAAAGTTACCGGTTTTATTTCGTTAACAGAAGCTTTTATCTCTCTTCCAGAATTTTCATCGACGAACTGTGGGGATCCGCTCTCATCACTATCGCTGCCAGCAAGGAAGTGTTGGAGTTGCTCCAACACATTTGTATTACGGAACTTGGCTCGGCCGATATTATTTTTAATGTAGCCGGCATTTTGAAGACTCTCGGCTAACGTACGCTCCGCCGTTTGCTGTCGATATTTGTTCGAGTATAAATACTTGACAGGTGGAGGACCAGTGATAGCAACAACATCTTCAATGGAACTGGGAGATATCTCTGTGCTCACGGTCTGCTCAATGCTATTGTCCTGTTTGGCATCGAGTGTTTGACGTCCAATTAAAGCCTCTGCACGTGGGTTGTCTGCCATTGCGGCTTCGTTCTCATTTGTATTACGTTTGGGCGAGTTTGTTGATTCGATAGTGCGCGGTGTCGACGATGGTGGTGTCTTTTGATACGTATTACCAGTCTCTTTGGCCTGTTGGGCAGCTTTGTATATTTCATATTTCTCCCTCGACTTGGCTGTTGGCTCAAATATCGTCTGCCGATTGTTAACAACTCGTCCGCGATGTGTCTTCCTTCTCAAATGGGGTAAAGATGTGGAGCTTCTCGGTTCATAGCTGTTAAATATCTTGAACTTCGGCGCATACGTGGTCGGCTCGTCAATACTATCCAAATTATAGTTAACAGTAGCCGCCGTGTAGCGTGACCGGCCACGTGGACGCACGGGAGCTTCAGATATTTGAATTGGGGACGAAGTCACCACAGTGGATACTGTTGGCTCTGCAATAGTAGAGGTCTGTGCGGCCTCTGTAGATGTCTTTCCTGTTGTTGTGGTTGTGGAAGAGACTCGGCCGAAAACAGGTCTTTGAGGACTGAAGGTGCTTAAAATGGCATCGCTTATGCTAAAGTTGCGGGTATTGCCGCTTGCCATAGTGTCAAGGACGAATTGGGTGGCGTTCTTCTGCAGTGGGCTAGCAGTAATATAGCTCCTTGCAGGCTTTGGTGTTGTCTGGAGAAACGGTACGGAGGCTGGAGCATTTGCAAAGCGCGTTCTAGCAGTTGTTCTAAGACTGTTTTGTGGCAGACGCTCGTCCTGGAGCAAGCTTTCAAGGCTTTTATATGGGGAAACAAAGCGCATTGCTGGGTTACTCGTGACACGCATAAGATTGTCCTTGAACTGATTTGCACGAGCTGTGAAGCTCTGCCCAGCTCGTTCGGTACTAGTAACTGAAGGACTGGTTGCTTTTGTTGTCGCAGTTGGAGCTACTTTCATTGTACTGCTCGGTAGATCCGAGATGCTTGTTGTAGGAATTGTAGTCAGCTTGCTAGGTGCTTGCTTAATAGTCGGACGACCGTTGCGCCAGATACGTAACGGAGCATATGTTGTCGGAATAATATCATCATACTCCGCGCTCATATGGTTAGCTGTAGTTAGAGGTAAACGAGTTGTTGTAGTTGTTGTGTTGTGCTTAACACGTTGACCACTATCGGGACGCTCAAAGAGGGGCTCAGACACATTATCCTCATTCAATGGTTCCTTTGCCGTCAAACTGAATCCATGTGATCCGCTTTCGAGGCTATACTCGTACGGCTTGCTAGGTCGCGTTGCATTTGTGTTATCCAACTGTTCGGATGTCGCATCGCTTGGTGCGTTTTTTGAAGCTGCTCTAAAGCTCTGGGGCTTAACGTCAGACAGCACATAGTTTTGTATGCGTTTGCTTTGGTTTTGCTCAGTGGATAATGTTGTGCCTTGAAAGTCGTTGTAAATGTTGGCTCTTATGTAGGCGGCCTTTGATGCCTTCTCTGTGGGCGTGCGCACCAAGTTGCTGGCTCCATAGGCGGCGGCATTTATAAAATCCAGAAACTTGGGCGAAGTGCTTGTCTCATAAGCATGACCACTAGGTACCACCGCCGTGTGGACTTGCACATTCTGGCTTTCATCGTAAATTGTCTTAACATACTTCTGAGTACTACTATTTGCACTGTCATTTGCCAACGCCCACGACTCACTGATTGAAGGTGCGACTGTAGATTGGACTGGGGACGCGATTTTGTTGTCATTGATATTTGGGCTTTGAGTGCCAGCCACAGCACTGATCAAGGACTTGGCTAGCAACTGCAGCTTTGACTTAAGAAAGGGATTGGAAGTATATGTGGGGAGTACAGCGGGAGTGTGCCTCACTGTGGTGGTCGTTGGAACTATTGTACTGGGTGGTGGTTGTGTAGTACGTGGTGTTGTGGTTGTCTTTAATTTGATTATAACATTTTGCTTAAAGTTTTTATTTGCATGCGCTTTTGAGCTGTTGAAGAGATGTGTATTTATAATAAACAATCACATTAGAGTTAGTATCAAATCCAGTTCGTTTTTTGTGTGTGTGTAAGGGCGTGTGTAGTATAATATAGGAGTATATCTTAATCCTTTGGCTCTGCCTGAATCACACTTGGAGATCTTATTATTAAGCACATGCCATGCGAACTTCGTACATATCTCAGAGTTAAGACATAGGAATACATATTTGTATGTATGTTGAGATCATGCAATGAGTTTGAGCTTTATATCGTAAATATGCTTCTCTACAGCAGCAGAGAACACAAAGAGAATTAGTGGGGAAAGTATGCGTAGTTAAAATCAGCCTAAATAGTGGGAAATGGGAAAAGTCGTATAATGGGTATTCGTTTAAATTCCGAGCGTGGCTCAGCTAACTTGAATTCATTTGATGTAATTCGATTTGATTGGATGTGTAATCGGTAGCTTAAAAAACTGATGAGTTGCTTGTATTTGATTATATCGAAGTCAATTAGCCGTTGGCAGGCCGAGTAATGACTTTTATAGAGAACTAGAAGGCTCAGTCTACGTATGTAAATACAGCACTTGTTTTATTGGGGAATTGAAAGTACCTTGAAGGTTGCAATGTAGTTGTTGTTGTTCTTGTTGTGGTTGCAGGGGGCTTTGTGACTGGTTGTGTAGTGGTTGTGGTTATCTTGTTTGTATTCCTGCTTGTAACTGTGGATGACTTTGAGATCGGAAGGCGTGTGGGTGTCATGGTCGTGTACTTCTTGGTCGGATCTGTTTTATAGGCTGAAGTAGACTGAGCGACATCGTTGGCGATCAGATGATAATCGTCCGTTTTTATTGACCTGGGAGCTTGGGTGGTTGGGCTAGTCTTCAATGTTGAAACTCGCTCGCTCTGGTAATAGTCCGCGGGTAAGTTCTGGGCGTACTCTGAAGACCTGGAGTAGCTGTAATCAGGCGCTTCATAGTTCATATGACGCGTGGTAAACGTATCGTAGTAGTTGCGCACATCAGGCCCTTGAGCCGGGCTATTAGTTGTCGCGACAGTGGCCCTTGCATCCAGAGTTTGTATGGTCACCTCTTCGGCCCTGGTAGAGAGATTTGTTGTAGGTTGGATGGCGAGGTTTCGAGATGAAATTGTATGTAAATTTTGATGCATTTGGTGTGACATAGAGCTGATATTGTGTCGTATGGAAGTGTACTTTAGTTGGGCATGCTAGCTGACTTTAATGTAGAGTGTTTCACATCCGTGAAGTTTCATTCTTTCAATATACTGACTAGTTGGGACACATACTTAAATACTTGTGAGTTAGAATTTTCTGCGAGCTCGTTAGCTTGTGAAACATGAATTGTAATATTCTCAAAAGGTTGCTACGAAACTTGACTTCGAATGCGTTGCGAATACTTACCGTTGTGGCGGAGGCGTAGGTTGATCATACACATTATCCTGCTCGATCTGTTCGATTCGTTAATGACAAAGTGATTAATTGATAAGTCTTATGTGCCTAAATATGTTCAAGGTCAGTTTGCTTACCTGTGCATTGAGATCCTCATCATAGTCTGAATTGTAGCTAATTGTTGGCTGGCTGTTGTAGCTCTGCCTTTGTGGTGGTGTCGGCGTTGTCAATATTTCCAAGGGCCTATAAGTGGATTGCTGTTGCTGGCGCACTGTCGATGGGTATTGCTGGGGCTTTTGCTGATGCTGATGCTGATCCTGCTGCTGTTGGTACTCAATATCCCTATATAAATCAATATCGTCGTCGTAAACAGAATAGTATGATGAATCATAGGGGTTTGGTATGGCAGGTGCCTGCTGCTGCTGTTGTTGTTGTTGTTGTTGTTGCGGTTGTTGGAATGGTGACGGTTGTTGTTGTTGCGCCTGCTGCGGTGTTTGATAACCACCCCCATGATTGAATATGGATGTATTGTAGTAGTTACGATTGGATGCAAACTGTGGCGGTGAAGCTTGTGAGCTTGGTTGTACAAACGTGTTATCGGAAGTTTGCGCCGTCAGCGATGATGACGGCGAAGATGACTCAACTCTTCATGCACAAGTTTGTGGGAAGAGTATGTGGCGCAAGTTATTTACATTAACGAGTATAATTTTAATTATTGATGTCATTTTATAATACATGTGTTTATGTGAGTGTGTGCGTGTAAGGCAATGTAAATTTCATATTTTACAAGGGGGAGAGAAATGTAAAACGAAAACGAAAACGAAAAGGAATTAAACGTATAATTAGAATACAGATGTCCCTATAAATCATGAATTCATTAAGTAGCTGAGGTAATGAGTTATAGCAAATGAGTTAGCGGTTGAAATTTTGGTTAGCGTAGCCCAGTCCCTACAAAATAAGTTTAGTCAACTGTACAGATTTGGTAAGTTCCATCCGTTTAGATTTCTTAGTAATGAGTATAGGGTCTGAACGTAAACGTATAAACAGTAGTGCCTGTGGGCAGTGGCATTAATGGCTTTTTATATACATTGTCACTGCCGTATTTATGTGTATTTGTGTAGCGGCACCAAATAATTGAACAGCACACGGGTCGTCGACTTGTATAACTACCTTTGTCTTTCCGTGCTTGAAGCTGTATGTACCCAGTTCAAGTTCTGGCCGCCTAACTCATTATTATTAGTGCTGGGCTTGGTGTAGGCGGCCCCTCGGCTGGTATCGTTTTGCGTGCGCTCTAATCCGTCCGGATTACTCTGAACTTGGGACTGCCATTTCTGCTGTCCACGCGTGCGTTGCGGTCGCACAGTGTAGCGGATTTTCGGTAGAGGTGTAGGCGTTGCAGTGCTCGTTGTAGTTGTGCGAGTTCGAGCTGTAGTATGTCTGTTGGGCGAGCCTGTTGTCTGTAACTGTGGCAGTCGTTGCTTCAACTCCTGAAATATGTCACTCGGAAAGCTGATGAACGCAGGAACTCCATTACCGGCGTTGGGCTGATTAAGTTGCGTGAAATTCGGAAAGGGTCGGCGCGTTGTTGTGGCTTCCATAAATCCCGTTTGTAGATGTGTTCGTATTTTACTGGGTGTTGTCGTAAGTGGTCCCTCGGTTGTGGCTTGTGGACGTGGTGGGGACATAGTCTCTGACATGGGCATGTAGGGAGGCATGCGTGATGGTGGCAGCATGTCTTCATCAACTCCGTCATCGTAGTCCTCGTCATAGTAGTCGATCGTCCTCTGAGTGGTAGTAGTAAATCTGCCCGCATTAATCTTGGGACGTGATGGGACTGTGGTCGTTGATTGGTTTAAATTAGACACTTGTTTGTTTATCTGGTTTTGTATACTCTTAACGAAAGATTCATAGCCCCTAAGAATAGGTGTGGTAGAGGCTTGTGTAGTAGTTGTGATGATCGGCAGTCTCGTAGGTATTGATATCAAATGAGGTCTCGACGTTACTGGACTTGATGGTGTCGAACTGATGACAGGTCGACGAAGAACCAAGGCATTGCGAACATTGCCACTTCCATCATTGCTTACCTGCTTAAAATACTTTATTAGAGGGTTGACAGCCGGATTAAAACTCGCTAGATCACTGGCTTTCAGGTTTGCCATAAACTCATTTATATTGAATTGAAAATTGGTCTTCTGTGGCTTGGCAGTTGTTGGGGGCTTAGGTGGCTCCAGCTTGGGGGGTACAGTAGAGCTGACAGATTTGGTAAAAGTTTGATACGATTCCGGCAGGGTAGTATTCGTAGCGTAACTGATGCCTACGGGAAAATGCGAGAAATCTCGGAAAGGTACCTCCTGCAGGGCGCTAGGCTTTTTGTAAGCCAAGTTGGGAGCCGAAACAATGTTCAGGTTTGACGTCACATGCAGCGGCGTGACTGGTGGACGGACTTTGACTGCGGCGTGCTCTAATTGATTCAGCTTGGCATTATTGTAAACACCCTTCATTTTTTGATTTGCCACAATATTATATTGGAAGTAATTGCTCTCTGTCGTGCTCTGAATATCTGGACTTTGGGCAATGCTGAACTGAGAAACTAGTTTGCCAGAATGATTCGATATGCTCGGTGTATACTCTGGCTTATTATTATAAAAGCCACCCATGGTGCTGTATTGAGCATAATGGTTGCTGGGCGTAACTTGTTGGATCGGTTTAGTCGTAGAATAGTACTCGAATAATGGCCGTTGTGTTGTATCCGGATTGTGCACGGCGGGATTAATTGGCTGATTGTCCAAATGAAAGTAAGCAAAGTTTTCAGCCTGTATCTGTTTTCTGCGTTCTTTAAGCTGTTTCAGCTGTTGTATGAGATAGGGAAGTAAGTCGCCTTGGTTCGTTTGATCCTGATAGCCAGCTGACGGTCTTGGGCTTGTTGATTCGGCCGCACCATAGTAAGTACCTGCAATAGGTCGAAAGTCATCTTCCAATGGCGGCGGCGGCAAAGACAAATTGTAGCCGGTGTAAACCGCAGTCGGCTTTTTTACATATGGTAAAACAGACTCAGGCTGCAAAGCCTGCTGAGGCTGCTGATGTTGCTGAGGCTGCTGAAGAGGCTGGAAGTAAGCCTTATATCCAGAGTTGAGTTGATTATAGTTCGGACTGGCGGAAGTGTGCTGGCTGGGAGGAGTAAGATAAGGATTGTAGCTACCGAAACTGTATCCATGCTTCGCTCCCCCACTGTAAGGCTGCTGAACTGGCGTGTCAATAGAACGGTAGTTATGTGCTGGCCACTTGGCAGACGCATGTGGGAAAGGACGCAGCTGACGTGCTCGCCGCTTTGATTCGCCTGTAGCCGTATCATTGCTATCTTCGACTGGTTCGCTGTCATCTGAGTCCGCAATCGAAAAGTCTAACTCAGTTTGACTAATTTTTGATGAGTACTTCTGCAGCTGGACGACCGCTGGCGCTGCTTCGTCGTACTGTTCTTGAGAGTTATTTGAGTTATTGGAGGTATCGGTGCTGTTTGTCGTTTCGCCACTGCCCAGTTGAGCACTGCTGGCACTGTATGGCTCCATGACTTCGCTAGAGGTGTTCGAATCGTTGGGCATTTCAGTAGGGTCGACAACTTCCGCTGGTGTAGTCGAGATTAAGCCACTAACATCGCGTCGTTTGCGTCCTCTGTCCACATCAAGTCGGTTATGTGACAGTTCGTGTTCAATGGTCACGTCGTCGGTTAAGCTTTCGCTGTTTGCGTACAGAGTTTAGCCGAAAAGCATTTCAGTCGAATGTTGAGTCAGTTGAAGTAAATTATAGAGATAGTGCAGTATGCATTGTATGAGAGAAAAGAGTAGTAAAATGGGTGGAGAATAAATTGTAAATCAGTTATGAATTTTTTGAGAATAAAGCAAAAAGTAAATTACCATAAAGAAAAATTGAATTGAATTTGGAAAGCGACGGCAGATGAAGCACTACATTTGATGCGGGCGAATAGAGCACATGACTTACCTATAAGCGGTTCCGAACGTGTAGGATCCAATTTTACCGTGAGTTGGTATTGAATTTATGCTGGCCTGGTGTAGAATGCCATCGCGATCCCGCTGCACTTGGCTAACAGTACTCGGCTGACCACGATAAACACGTTGCTGACGCTCGCTGTCCTCCTCTTCAGGCAGAGTTTCATGCGCCTCGGCGTAGAGCTTTGTAAACAGAATATGAATTGAAGTTAGCAACTAGCTGTTGGCCTTGGCTCACCTTGGCTATTTCTTCCTGCGACTCCAAAAGCGACTTAGGCTGTCCTCGGGACGTGATCACTGGGTTGGGAGCTACGGTAAGTTCTGGTGGTGGTGGCAGATGCTGAACCTGGGCCTGTATAGTCTGGGGAGGCGAACGATGGTACTGCGGTGGAACTGTGACTGTTTTTTGTGTAGCTGTCGGACTGGTGAAGGCGGACCCAAAGCGAATGCGACTCGGAACATGTTGCTGTGGCTTGTTACGTGAGGCACCACCTAATTCGGTAGAGGTGGCCGACGTGCCACTGTCCACCACTTCGCAGCCCACGTTTCTGGGCCAATCGCAAGTCTGCAGCTCGTGCGAGTACATCAGTCCCCCAGTGCAGCTCTCGAGTAACGCACCGCCAAATACGCACACATAATACTGAGTACAGTCCGAGGGATGGGGATAGTATCCAAACTCTTCGGGGCAGTCAAAGCTGACGCCATTTGAGGTGGCTGACTTCACGTTGGTGCCAAAGCTGCGAGAATTGGTGACTCGTGGAGCTCGTTTACTTTGCGCATCTGTCGAGCCTGAAAGGATAAAACGCAATGTGGTCATTAAAAATCTATATACACTCTTAATAAAGTTTCAAAACAGAGTACACAAGTCGATCTGTAAGCATAGCCTTCTATGCAGAAAACTAGTCGCAATAATGCCATTTATCGTTGAGAAAATATTAATCGAAGCCACTCAGACAATTGCAGCTGAATTTGAATTGAATCCAATTCGTAGCAATCAAAGCTAAGCCAACTCTAAAATAAAAGTAAGTTTGCTCTGAGACAGCCTTAAACCAGCAAATGGCACGACCAATTTGAACGGCTCGCCCAAGGTTTGGGCGCAATGTAATAATTGGGGCGGAAGTTGTGTTTACTCTTATTGCTTTGCATTTGAGGCATATATCTGCTTTGCAATATTTCTATACCGACAGCTGAGACCACAGCTAATAAATTAAATAAATTGCAACATTAAAATTATGCAAGGAGTGCGCCGCGGCACGATATCAGGCAACCTTCGATTGCCATTTGGTGTTGTGCTTTAAAACCTTAAGCTTAGAATGGTATGATCGACAAAGCTTTTTTCTTGGGACACCGTGGTTTGAGCCATTCGCTTTCTGACCCACCTCAATTGGCTTACTGCAACTGAACATTATTATGCTATACTTTAATTGTAACGTAAGCATTTTCGAACAAAAGCCAGTTATTACAGCGAGAAGTTGGGCTGCACTTTTGACCAGCCATGGACACCGCGTGCGAGCACCTTATATATATTTTTTTTTGGAGTAACATAATATATTTTGCTTGATAGAGACACCTTTTCCCAAAAAAATTTACATTCACTTTTTACTTTTCTGTTGTTCCCATTCGCAGTTCCTAAGCCAGATAAGGCCATGTCATTATTGTAATTTTAAATGAACTGTTAACCAGTAATAATATGCGCCCTTCTAAATGCCACCAGTTCGAAATACCTAAACATAACTATTTCTACTTAATACTCAATGGAAATGAAATCAAATTGGATTATTGATATTATGCAAGTGGATCTGACCGATTAAAGAGGCTGACTCAATGTATGTTGATCCCGTTCCGGTCAGCTGACTCGAATGTTTGATGGTCTTGAATAATTGATGAGGATGTGCAAAAGCTGTGCAGGGTATGTGTACGTCGTGCGCTCTCTCTCTCCCAAGTACGCATTCTACTTTGTTTGTGCATACATGTTTTTCTAATGGACGTCACATGAGCAATCATGTCAAGGCTGCTGGATAAGATCTGTTTAGCATGCAGCACGCTCCATATCTTGTATAATTATCACACAAAAGCGTCGCAGCTTTGACTCTTTGACTGAGTGATATATGTATGCATGCGAGGTGACCGCCAGTGCTGCAAAAGTAAGCTAATCACGTGCCAATGCAAAAGTCTAAAGTCGCCGTTGACTACGATGACATTTGTCTTGGCCAGCTCAAGCTCCAGCAGCAAGAGCCACAACAGCGTGGCAACACATTTGCCGATTCATTGTTGCCGTTTGTACTTTCTGCTCCACTAAACAAAATGTGTACGTGGATTTGCTTAGCTAGTTGCTAAGAGCATGGCTGGGTTGTGTTATGCAATGCACAGTAATTCGGCCATAAGCCTGATTGGCTCTATTTTTTGTGGGTTTGTTCAGCGCTTGTCGATTGCTTCGCTTTTGCTGCTCTACTTGTTCAAAAATAAGAGCAACACATTACGCGACTTTTATTGAAAGTGAAGTAGGTACTATACAGCACATAAAAAGGCAACCTGACAAATACTTGGACAATTTGAATGGCCCGTACATAATGTCTATTGATACGCTTTACTCTCAATTGACGGGAATTTATGTGGCTTATTACTTCCGGGCATTAAGTCGGCTATTGAGGTCATTAGCTTATTAAGTTATTTCTACGTTGCTCTTTATATTTTAAATTTATATGCAATTATTAGATTTAAAACTTTTTCAGTTCTTCGAATGATATAACATTTAAAATATTTGGCCAATTGTTTAATTTTTTTAATTAATTCCCTTCGAATTCCAAATAAATTATGATATCTCCTGTCATAGGCAAAATTTGTCTACTAGTTCGCTAGGTGCGGTTCACAATTAAACGCACGCTTCGCAGACGGAAAACAAGCACTGGTCAGCTTTCAGTTTCAGTTTCAGTTTTAATCGATTGCACAACTCAGCGAGAAGGCGTATCGGAGACCTCAAGGCAACAACCAAGCTCTGTTATTGCTATTTCTTTTGTTGCCAGCATTGGACGCGACGCGGCGATTACCTTGCGATCGTTTGCATGTGCGCAGGAAGTTTGGGATCGTTAGTTGAGATTTTCCTTTCTAAAAAGCGCCGTTACAGTCAGCAGTCACTTCCTGGGTATAAAGCCACGACAAATGCATCAAGTACTAGTGCTCTAAGAAGCTCACAATTGTTGGGCTTTAGTCTATTATATATCATATCTCGTTATGCGGGATAAATTATTTTTGCATATTAAAACTTGTAAGGAAAACGTAACTCGGACTCAAAATATAAGCGTCATAAAAATTGAGATTAAATGTATTGCCAATAAATTTCACAGCTATCTTGCGATAGCCAATAAATTACCTTATTGATTTGCATCTCGCGGCGCATTATATTATAATTAAAGATTATAATTAAAGATTTATGCGCTCGAGAATACCTTGCGAGCTCTTTTGCCTTGTGTGTCTCGATAAATAACCATAAGCTGACAAGTGCAATATGCCTAGTGTCCTTTCTGTGCTATAAGTTATAGTCAAACAGTTGTCACAGGCAAGAAATTGGGCAAATGACTGAAGTGAACCTAGCCATGCCTTCTAGCCACTGCGGTGCAGTACAGTTGCCTTTCGTTTCGATAAATAAACTGACTCTGACATGCACTGGTATGTGCCGAGCTCAAAAGTGAGAGCTATATTGGAACCCACTATTTTATGCACCACAAACAGGAAATATACAACTATGCAACATTCGCCAGCATTTCGACTTTTTTGCTACAGTTGCTATTTTTGCTACGGTCAGCTGTGGCCCCACTCACAACATTGGCTCCACTAAAGCCGTATACGTTTTTGGCAATTATGCAACGAGGCTCCTAGGTAGCATTGAGTTTACACATATATAAACTAACTGTTTGCCTACTCTAAGCTTTCTATCAACTGCTTAGAACTCTTCCTTAAAAAAAGCTACCACATCAAAGGTCTAAAGTTTGCTGCTTTTTGCCGAAGAAGTTTGTTTTGAAGCCAATGAGGCTTGAATGAATCATAATTTAATCAGGGTGACTTAATCCTTTTGTGCTATGTACTCTTGTATAAATGTGATTTGGCACTTAATTTTGAAATGTTCTCAAAACATTGTTAAATTTCTGTAAAAAACATGTAGTTGAGGCATCATAAACACAAAGCAGAATTTTTATTTTAGATGGGATAAGATTTCTATATAGATTTATATATGTATGTAGATATATATATAGATATATTTGGTCTAGTATACTTCGATTAAATTATTTTTCGTCGCAGTGAATGTTGCCGAACAACCCCAAATTCGACCACAACAAAAAGTAAAACACAACTAGCACGAAAAGTGGGTCAAACTGAGAATATTGCATAAGATGTAGACACAACACTCACCAACATACATACAGATACAGAGACAAGCTATTTCAAATCTTGCTGCTAGTTGCAGCAACTAGACCACACGACGTCGACAGCCAAAGCGACAACGGCAACAGCAGCAGCAGCAGCAGCAGCAACAGTAACAACAACAATAACAGCAACAGCAAACGCGGCTAAGTATGGCGCAAGTCTTGCAGAGCGCATATAAATGCGGCAAGCCACGCCTGCTTCAAAATCGATCACTTTCGCATACTTGTAAATCGAAACCAGCCAGCCAGCTGGCTGCGCCACAGCAACAGCAGCAGCAGCAGCAAGAGCAGCTTTCGATGCAGCCTGCAACTTTATATGGTGCAGTGTGCTCGATGCTTTTTCAGTTCGAGTGTCGCATTTGCCATTTGCAATGACTGATCAGAAATGCCTACATCAAATTGGTTTTTTAGTCTCCACTTGGGCCATCAATGATGTCGCTTTTTCGAGACGGCGATTACGAGTCTTTCGCTCTAAATTTCTTCAATTTATATATAACTCTCAGCATAACATCTAATCAATAATTTGAAACATTTTAAAGATTATATAAAATGTTAAATTCGTGCGAAGCTTTCTTCCTCACTGCTCAGCGATTAATTTTAAAATTCTAATAGGAGCAGAGGTTAACGTACCTCGCCGACGAAGTTGAAAGATGAATAATACAATTACAAACGCGCCGACTGTGACAACCAAAATTTACATACAGAAACACAATTTCTGCATTTTCCACACAGAAAACCTAAATTTAGCATCAACGAACTGCAGATGCCACAACGGCCGTTCCACGTGCCACGGCCGTGACGCTCATTTTTCAGTTCAATTAAATTTGAAAAAAAACGCCCCATTGACTCCCGCGGAAGGGAGGTCAAGGTGCTCATATCTGTCTGTGGTTGCGGCTGCGGCCTCCTCGTTGCCGCTGACACGGTTGATGTTGCCAATGTTGATGTACTTATTTTTGTGAAGCATTTATTATTGGCATTTTGCTGAAACACCGGATGCCGCTGAATTTCAGATGTAGATACATACGGTTGAAATAAATTATTTAATATTCCAAAGAAAAATGTGCAAAAATTTACACGAAGTTGTATTACTCATTGCAGAGTAAACCAAATATACATTGGACTTAAAAAGAAAATGGAAACCATTTACTAAGCACAGAAAGCCTTCATCTTCAAAACGATATAGAAGAAACAGGGAATTTCTATGCCTTTCGCAGGTGCACGGAAGTCAAACAGAGTCACCAAAACTCAAGCAATGGCAACGCAATGTATGTCACTGCGAAATCTACTCAGTGACTAGAGTTGTTGCCAAGAGCAAACCAGAGTTAACAAATTCCCTCAATCCTATTTTTATTTTCATTGATTACCTGT